CATACCATTAGACTTTTTTCACCCACCACTTCTAGGTAGGACGGAGTTCGAGCAACAAGTTGTTGATAAATCACCACTTATAGTCAATGACGATGTGGTGGGTTTCGAACAAGGCCATGATATCAAGTTATCAACTGTGGAAAGGGTTCCTTTCTTTTCAGCCCAGCCCTAGTTACTGATAGCTTGGACAGCTGCACAGAATCCAACGATGAGTGACACCAGCTGCCTGGCTGTAGGAAAAGAGGAGTACGCTACCATCAATGGGGTAGATGTATTTCTAGACTATCCGAAATTTGCCTCAAGTACAAACAAAACTCTTTTGATTCTCCCCTACTCTCCGTTTTGTGCACTATATGTCACCACCTTTGGCTGGGTAGAACTAGTCACCTTCATTCTGTCGTCAGCGTAAGCAAGCGCCCAATCCTTGAACGGTTCAATATCAAAGCTCCATGCCCAATTCTTCTTTTGCAGGGCCAAAATAACATTCACGGTCCAAGTTACGCAGCTCTGCTGCGGATTCGTGTTTTTAACCGGCAAGGGAATGCTGGCAAAAAACTCTTCTAATTGCGGGTTTAATACATCCTCCGGTATATGACCGATAACGATGCGCCCAATAAGCTTGGAACTAAGTTCGGGGTCAATGTTTTCTTTAGGACGGAACCACCAGTTCATGTGAGGATTGTTCATCCTAAATGTGACGGGGTCAATTTCAGATGCATCCGTGGCTTCATACGCATTGCAATCTCGCCCGTGACTATTTTCCGGCATGACCATCATTCCCCAGTGGAAAGCGTCGTAGCCAAAAACTCGCCGGGAATGACCTTTGGAAAGAGTATCTCGATGGTATAAAGCGACGGTGGCTAATCGTGCCATGGTGGAGTACCAAAGTAGTATCCAACCTGGAGGGTATTTCTGTTAGCATAGCAGCGGTGGTTCCTCTGATTAAACTCACCAACGTTTTTGTAGACGATAGAGAAACAGCCGCTTAAGGAGAAGAGATTACAATAAGGCTGGTTCAGACAGTTTGATGACAGGGAAAAGGCGAGATGAATGCTGCGGGACTCCTGATTTTAAGTAGTTATCCCCTAAGTGTTGGTTGTGGTACCAGACATTAGAAGCCCGGTCCTTTTGCTGGTGCCAGCGGCACGTAACCAGCCTCGCTGGGGGCTGTCCAACTGTGGCCAATCAAGGTGCCTCTCTTACCGCTGGCACTATCATCATAATGATATTTCTCATGAGCCTCACAAGCGCGTGGGATCGGTCATAATCGCCCGCATGATGCAGACCCTAAGCACCCCGATGTGAAGATGGTCCCACGTTTGAAACCAGCTCAGCCGTCGACTTGCATCGTGGGTATCAAAGGCATATGCAATTATATCCAATCATGGGATAATGGGAGCTTCCACCGGAGAACAAAACCTGGGTAAACAAGCATGGGGGGTGACATTGGCCTATTGGGACACCGCTTGTTGGCGTGCTGTTGGTTGTGCAATTTTTATGACATGGATGCGCGGCCGCCACGCTTATCTTGTTGCGGCGCATGCGAGCGTGCAAGGCTACACGGCTTGATTCTCAGGGACTCTCCCTCGTTGTTGCTCTTTGTTTCTGGAAAAAAAAAAGTCAAAAGTCTGAAGGTAGCGTCTTCGCTCGCATAAATGAACAGAAAGCTTAAAGGTCCACTATACTCAACTTAACTTTCCCCCTTCTTGTTTCTTGCCATTCAACTTCCTGCGAGTTACCTAGGCTACAACAGTAGTGTCATATTTTCCTCTAGCCAAGGCAAGAGACCACAAGTCTTTTGATTTGAGACCAGCTCTTTTCCTCAACCATTCCGCGGAAGGAGTCGAACCCTTGGTATGAACGTGGGGATTGGAGAATGTGCCAGAAATCGTCCCCGGCTCTGGTAGTCTTCTCCAAAGGATTCGCTCCGCTGCAAGTTCCGTCTCATAGCCAGGCAAGATAAGACGCATATATTCCACCCAAACATCTTGACCGAAAAACAAATTATAGTGCACCTTTGTAAATTCCCAATACTCCGGATACCATCCCGCAAAGCCCCAGTCAATAATGGCAGCAATACGTCCGTTCCGCACCATGATATTCCTCGGCGCTAGATCTGCGTGGGTAAAATACGTTGCATAGCTGCCCGTGTGCGTCTTTGCTACTTCCGGGCCAAGAAACGGCTCGACATCTTCCATGATTAAATGCCCTCGCGTAAGTGAGTGAAAGTCGTCGTGGCTTACGGGTCCAAAGAAGCGAAACCCAATGCGGCAGTCAAACGCCGGGTTCTGGAGTGCAGACGAGACCATGCCCTGTTTTGGAGGCTGCAGCGCGCGGAGGCTTGCCAAGTGGTTTTTGAGATCTTCAAAGACGGCCGTCATCTGGCCTTTTGACAGATGATTCCAGGCTTCCTCCAAGGTTTCACCACGGATAAATTCCATCTCTATGTAGGTAAAGTGACCCTCGTTATGCACAGCATAGATTTTGGGCACAGGAACCGTGGTGTGCGCGGCGACGTAATTCATGGCCTCGATTTCGGTGGGATCGCATGGTCCCTTGATAACGCGATGCCAGCTGACTCTGTATGTGAAAGGGCCGAGGGGGCGGAAAAGTAGATTGCCCAGCCAGAGCCGCCACCGTAGCGGGAACAGACTTCCAATGGATTGGCCCATGGGTGTTGGAGATTATTTGCGTTGATGTTTGGACGAAGAAGAACTGATCGTGTTGAGAGCATGGAGCAGCTGTTGTACAAACCAAGGGGTGTAGTCACGTGATCTTCCATTCCCCGGCCAACGCAGCCGTCACTCGTAGGCATCTCTGTTGGTTTAAATAGATCATCGTCAGTTCCTTCACAGCAAAAGCTGGATATTAAATAATGCTTTCTGGGGCTTAACAGACAATGTTCACTTGAGAGTGTGGACAACTGCCTCGACTAGTAAATCTGACATTCCTTAGCCAACCCTAACACTAACTCTTATGCGAACAACAAGAGATCTCCATTATGTTAGGCCAAATTTAACAAATCACGCCAGGGCAGGCCAGATAGGCGAGCAAAAGTCGGACAAAGGGCATTCTCAACTTGACATGTCAAGTCCCATTACATGGCTACGTAGTAGAAATGGTTTGCCTAAATGACAGTGGCTTCTCTTGTTGTCGCGCCTTCCGACTTCCGTTTTTCAGCACCTCGCTGGTAAGTTCACACAGGCTACGTGTCTGCTAATTTATATATAGACTTGGCGTCCATTATACTAAGCACGAACATTACAGAGCTACAGTTATATCAGATGTAATTATCTAATATTTCTTGCACTACTTCGGAGGTTAAGAATACCCTCTCCTGCTATAATTCCTGCATAATGTTGTGCGACCTATTTGTCCGTAGCAGCTATAGCAGCAGATGGATTGTTCTTAAACCGGGGAAGGAGGCCTTGAATTTCGGCTAGACGAAACTGTAGTTCTTCTGGGAGCTTGGCAGCAAATTCGGCTGTATCCGACATTTGTCGCCTGTCCACCCTTGGCCTCGTTTCGTATAATGTATAGATGGCCTGAACTGATATCGTTGGTTGTCAAGATGGCAACGCGACCCTCTTTGGACGCTGCGCCGTCAAGCACATTTAGCAAGCCCGACAAGGCTATACGCCCCCGGGTGGAAGTAGCTGATGCGCGGTTGGCTTCTGCTGTGACAAGCGGTATCTCGTGACGGAGGGCCATTGGCGTGAAGGTCCCGGGCACGGGTGTGACCAGCATAGTCGACGTCTTTGAGAAGAACAAAACATTGTTCCAGGAGACTAGCAAAGAGGAACAAGATCGTCCTCAGTGGTACTGGTATTATTAAGATTAATAATGTAGATACGCATTCCGAAGAAGCCAGCCATGGCAAGGTTCAGAGACCTTTTACCGGTTCCTGATGGCCCATGGAAGAGGTAGTCGCGCCTGTAGGGAATTCCCCGATTAGAATACCATTGCTTCTTGAACGGTTCAAGATACTCGGTAGTGTCGCAAATATTTTTTTTTCTTGACTTGTTCATGGAGAATGATGGAGGGAAAAGGTCAATTCGGCCGGGACATGCACCGCTGCCATGACGGATCTTTGCCCAACACACTGCCCCCAACGGCACTGGGCTAAAATGGAATTTTTGGCTTCGGTCTTGGATATTTACAGCATCCTCTGCCGTGTTCGAGTCACCAAGTCCGTCTCTGTCGTCGGCATGGTCCCTGCAGAGGTAGCTAGCTATTCCGTGAAGAAATATCTGCGTTTACGAAGAGCTGCCGCGATTCCCGGTGAGAATACTGGTGATAAATCTATAGTGGTTGCTGACGAGGAGTTGACGAGTATTAGAGATCACGGTGACAAGGGAAGTTAGGGAAACTAGAATAAATGGCGACAACGAGTAAATCCCTCGTGAAACACAGTCTTGTTTATATCCGTGACATGGCAATTTAACACTAGTTGTTGTAGAAATGGCTAGTTCTTGCCTTGATGCCATTCCCGGGAGTCATGCCATGGATGCGATTCTACTAAGGGACTTGTCTAGTTGGTTCAATGTTACTTTAAAACACAGAATGTTGCGCACTTTCAGACTAGAAGCAGCGTCTTTTCACCCTGTTTGAGACCTGAGATGACAATCTGTCAAAGAGTGAGCTGAGCCTGCTGTGGCCTGGCACCTTGTCATGTCAGCTAACAGCTCATTGGCTACAGCCGCTGATACACACGGCTTCCAATACACCTACTCGATGCAGTGTAACTTTCAACTACTCCGTATTGCCATGTTATTGGCTTCTGATGGTGTGTGAGTAGCACAATTGACGCCCAAAGACGGCAGGCATAATCGTTGGGCACTCATGAAGTCCGGCGCACATGCCTTGCCAAGTTGGATCTTTTGGGGGCGTCTCCTTCCATGTCTCTTTCTCTCTGCCTTGTCTCTTTGTGGTTTCCCCTCCCCTCACTTAATCATACTTTCTCTCGATTACTTTGTTTCATCCCCGAGACGGCAAAGAAGATGGCGTCTTCCCATGAGAATAAAACTGTTCTTTTCCGGGCCAACCCCGCCACTCGGGACGCGGATGCTGACCTCGATATCATTGCCATCCACGGCTTGGACACGCAGTCACCCGGGACATGGACCTACTCCAAAAGTCCGGGCGAAGACGTCAACTGGCTGCTTGACGAGAATATGCTCGCAGCGAGGGTCAAAGGAGCTCGAATTTTCACCTGCAACTGGCCCGCCGAGCTGCTCCAAAAACCCGACACCATTGCAACGACACTCGAGGAGTCGGCGCGGCATCTGCTCAACTCACTCACCCTTCACGTGGCAGAAGGCCGCAGGGAAACACCCAGGAGACCAAGACGGCCTATCCTTTTCATCGCCTCGTGCCTTGGAGGCATCATCTTAATCAAAGCTCTGGCAAGAGATCCGAAGCTGGATAGTGATGAGCGGGACCTCACGGCTCTCCGGAAAGCGACCCGGGGCATTGTTTTTCTGGCCACGCCGTTCCGTGGCACGTCGTTTAAAGATATTCCCGGGTTCGTCTTGCCTCTCTGGGCATGGTTCGGTGGCCGCTCGGTATCGGCTTTGATCGATTGCACGAGGGAGCCGCCATCCCATCTCGACGAGCTCGTCCATCACTTTGTAGAGCTACAACGTAAACACGACATACACGCCGAATGCTTCTGGGAGGGAAAGAAGACTAATCTGCTACGAAAAGTGTGGCTGTGCTGGGTCTTTTCCCCTTACCTACACATAGTCTGGATAGTGGTATTACTTACTGCTGTGTTACTGGCGGCTTGGCAACTGCTTGTATTGCATACTACTTCACAAGTTCATCATTTCACGCCCTGGCTGTTGGTCGTCTACTCCCAATGGTTATCAGGCGCTAGAGCTTGTCAGCCAAAAGAGGTAAATGTCCTTCTGAGAGTAATGCCTGGATTGGATGTCTCTAAGCACCCCCTCGCGAATCTTGCTTTATCATGTAGCTTACATGTGCTAGCTGGTGCACAAAGATTCAGCCACTTTGACAGGAGGGAGAGGACAGCGTCTCGATCGACCCCACGTCCTAATGAACAAGTTTGGTGGCCCCGAGTGTCAAGATTACTCGACTGTCGCGAAAACCATTGAGCAAATGGCTGTAAAGATCCGAGAGGGGAGCCTCCTCAACAGAGCGGATCGCATGATTAAAGAAAGATATTTTGACAGTGGCAAGCTGAAGATTAAAAGATTGTCGGGCAATCTTCTTGCCATGAAATCATGCTACATTAACCTCGCTATTGTCGAAAAGACTGGCGACGGTAAGAGTCATGAGGCAGATGACTCGGTGTCTTTTTCGCTCTTGGATCGACAAAAAGTTGGGATACCCGAAGAGATACGTCAGGTCGATTTATCAAAGATATTCGACGCTCAGCAAAATAAAGGGGGGAAGCAACCAAGACGTATCCTGATTCGGGGACGCGCGGGAGTCGGCAAGACCACATTATGCAAGAAAATAGTCCACGATTTCTATACACCAGAAACTGAGCTACATTGCTCATGGACGAGATTGTTCGATCGCCTTCTCTGGGTGCCTTTGCGAAATCTTAAATTGGGCAACACACGGGACACCCCAGGATACAACCTTGAGAAGCTCCTTTTGCATGAGTTCTTCTCGCGACCAACCAGCGAACCCGAATTCGCTAGAGAAGTATCGGAATCAATGACAGCAGTCGCCAATAGGACCCTATTTCTCCTTGATGGTCTTGACGAGATTTTACACGACTTGAGTTCTAGTGGCGACATGTATGCTTTTGTCCAGGAGTTGTTGAGTCAACCAAACGTCATCATCACATCCCGGCCGTCTGCAGCAGGTCTTTCCAGGGGCGTGAGCCCTCCGGACCTCGAGCTGGAAACTGTTGGCTTCTATCCAGATCAGGTTGATGAATATGTCAGAATGGCCTTCGCCGACACGCACAAAGTCGAGCAAGTGCGCAACTTTCTCAAACAACATTGGCTGATTCAGGGTCTGGTGCGAATTCCAATTCAGCTAGATGCCCTCTGTTATACTTGGAATGACAGACTAGAAACGGTGCCAGACACCATGACTTCCATGTACGAGTTGATCGAGCTCAAGCTGTGGAAGAAAGATGTAGTCCATCGACTAGGATTAAGACGTGAAGATAATGAGCCTCTTAGCGAAGACGATCTTCAGAGCGTCGGGCGGGAATATGTTGAAAAGCGTGTTCCGGAAGAGATGAGCTTATTGGAGGGCCTGGGATTCAGCGGACTAATCAACAACATTATTGATTTCCAAGAGACACATGTGAAGATGATAGCTGGCCAATCCTCAGCCGGCTTTCTTTACAGCAAGACTTGTCGAGATGTTTCCTTTTTGCGATCGTCAGACTCGTCCCTAGCGACAGCGGACCAAAGACATCACTTCATACACCTCACATTCCAGGAATATTTCGCGGCGCGGTATTTTGTTAAGCAGTGGAAATCGAAGCGTAATTTGGTCACTATTCGGTTTAAAAACGAAGCGAGGTCCAACATTGTCGATGTGAGCGTTGAGGACTTTGTGCGCGACGAAAAGTACAATGCAAGCTACGATATCTTCTGGCGCTTTGTCGCCGGCTTGCTCGGTGAAAATGATGACCAAATCTGTGACTTCTTCTACATGGTCCAAAACGAGCCGCGCGACCTCCTTGGCCCGGTCCATCAACGGCTAGTAATACATTGTCTCAGTGAAATCTCATTGCAGAAGGTGCCCAAGTTCCAGAAGTTTTACCAGCAGCTCGAGTACGAAGCGAAACAATGGCTATTATTGGAACTTCGAGTGAACTATCGCTCGCGACTAGCAGCTGAGATGGAATTTCCAGACAAGATTCTAGCGGAAGCTTTTGAAGCGAAATCAGAAGAAGGATTTCGGGAGCTCAAATCTAGCCTATATAACTCATTGCATGACAGACCGGTGCTTCCCTTGGCAGTGATGGACCACATAACTTCTTGTTTGGTGAATTCCGAAAAAGATCTGGGAAGTGCTCTTCGTCTACTTCAATTTGCTCCTAGAAGCGCGTCGGAGAAGATGATCCGTACGATAGTAAACTTGCTAAAGGACGATGACGAAGAGGTCCGCCATCAGGCCGCCAACATCTTGTGGGAACAATCAGCACTGCCGCAAGATGTGTTTCAAGCCATAGTAAGGCTAGCAACAGGCCCTAATAAAGAAATTCGTCCACAGGCCCTTCAGATCCTGAAGAAGCAAACCACGCTGCCACAAGACGTGCTTCAAAGCTTGGTGGACTTGTTGAAGGACGACTGCGACTACGAAGTGGTTCAAATCTTGGGTGCGCAATCAGCACTGCCGCAAGATGTGGTTAAAGCCCTAGCGAGCCTGCTGAAGGACCCTGTCAATGACGTTCGCAGGGGGGCTGTTTGGGCCTTGGGGACGATAACCGCGCTGCCGCAATACGTGGTTCAAGCCCTGGTAGACCGGCTTCACGACTCTGATAATTATGTTTGTTTAAGTGCCGTCTCTGCCTTGTATAAGCACTCATGTCTCTCGCAAGATGTGCTTGAAGCATTGATGAAGATGCTACAGAGCCCTGACAAAAGAGTGCTTTTATCCGACGAAGAAGTGGAAGACGCCGAAAAGTCGTGTAAACGCCTACTGGAAGAGGTGGCAGCAGTCTTGCTCTCGCGGGCCGCGCCGTCGGACGACGTCTTTCAAGCAGTGATGGATTTGCTAAAAACGGTCCCGAAATCACCCAGCAATCCATTGCCGGTTCCTTGCGGCACCCGGGCGTGTCAACAACGAAGGTGATTCAGATGATGACGCATGCGAAGGACCATCCTAATGCAGTCGTGTGGACGGAAGCGGCGCGGGCCGTGTGTAGGAGGCCGTATGAGGAGGCGCTGCCGGAGGAATTGACTTTGGCGCTTGAATATCTGCTCAAAGACTCGGACAAATGGGTATGTACTGCTGCATTACTTGTCTTGACAGATCAGCCCGGTCCGTGGCGTCTCGGTCTGCAGGAGGAGCTTGCCAAGGTGGCTGTCGACTTGCTCACGGATTCTGAAGAAGACGTACGAAAGAGTGCCATTTTTTACGGTAGCCAACTAGTAGAGCTGTCTGAAGAGGTGGTTCAGGCCGTGGCAAATCTGCTAGAGGATCCCGACACAGACATACGGCTGGAGGCTATTCGGTCTCTCAACTTTGACAGAGTAGCCATAACGTTACCAACAACGGTCGTCCAAAGGATGACATGCTTACTAGAGGACCACAACGAACACACCAGAAACAGTGCAGTCAGCTCATTGGCTTCTCACAAAGCCCTTCCAAAGGAGGTGCTTCAGGCACTTGCATTAACCTTGCACAATCCTACACCCGAAAGACGAGCCCAGGCAGCAAGAATTCTGAATGGCCAAGTAGAGCTACCGCTTGATGTACTACAGGCAATCGCCGATCTGCTCAAGTTTCCAGAGGACACTCCGAGTGATAATGGCACTTCGAGTGATAATGCCGCCATGACAGCCTTCGATCATCTTGCAGCTTTGCCGGACCAAAGTTTCTGCTCAAAACTTGCCAAGATGGACGACCAAGGCTTCACCAGACTATATCGAGAGTGGCTACGACGAGCCTTTTCAGATCCCAGTTTTATCTACGAGAAAAACAAAGTCTACCACATTCACCTACCCCGTGGACACCAAGAAATTCCAGTGCCTCAGTTTCAGCGTGCTGTCCAGGCAGCCCAAAAAGCCCTGAATATTCCTGATATTAAACCATTATCAATCAAAGATTCGTATCAGCAGCCCACATGCCAAGTTGAGCAGGACGAGGTTGCACACATAGCCGACGCAAGCATCCGTGAGCCGCCGTCTGCACCGGAGAGTGAGAAACAACCTTGAATCGGATAAACTAGCCAAGGAGACGTATAATCAGAGAAAGAGCACCAGACCCTATCACCCTAATGTACTTGGCAATTTATTGTTCTAGTTTAGGTTGGAAAATGTATCGATGTACCATCTATCCTTGGCGTACTCATACAGCTGAAGACGAGACCTGGAGATGTAGTCTTGACTCAGTGGATTCAGATTAAACGTTGGACTTGTTTCCCCTGCGAGTTTTTAGTCATCTTGGGCTTCAATACGGCACACTATTTGGTGTTGAACGTGCTCTTGTAGTGTCTCCCAGCACCCTAGTCGAATCACAAAGAGGTCAAGGTATTTACTCTATTTTACAAGCGGTTACAAGAGCCATCTGCAGATGTGACGCTTTTGCACATTTGCAGTACCAGCTCAGTAGTTCCAATGTCCGTTTTTGAAACATTAAAGGCGAGAGCGACTGCATCAATCCAGCCTGATGGATGCGGGCACACCGTTCTTTATCATCAGCAACTCACGTAAAGGGTGACAATGCCAGGTGTGCAGCACACTGACACGGTGCAGATGCACAAATTGTCAGCAGCACGAAAATATACAAATAGTGTTATTGAATATGTCAAAAAGATGCGTATATATAGTACAAAACCGAATGTTGAGGGAGTCTAGTTGACCTAATGCTATCTAAGCGGACAAAGGGGCAACCAAGGCCAAGACAAAATAACTCAATACATCAGACTACTACCAAGTTTCTTTCCCCTAAATGTCCTCTAATCTGAGCTACGGGCTCACCAACTCCCTAGTCTCCATTTGTTCTACTTACCAATGTTCTTGTCGGCATCAAGTCCAGGGATATTGGTTCCTACAACATACGCCTTCACCTCTGCATCCTCAGGCTTCAGCGCAGCCAGCTCTTCCTGCGTAAGGTTAGCGACCACGCCATCCCGCCTCGTCTCGCCCGGGAAACTCTTCCTCGAAAAGTCCAGCATGACCTGGATCTGGTAGGGCTTCTTGGAATCATCCATGATGGGAACCGAAGGCGTGTGAGGCCTGGCCTGCGAGTACACGGTCCTGACACCCTCGGGGGGGAACTGAATGCCGACAATCGTCTCGCCTCCAGGCGGGCAAGAAGACACGGGCTTGTCATGCTCGTCACGCAACTCAAAGTACTTTTGCCCCAGGGCATCCCACGTCGCCGACTGGCCGGCGAGGCCAGCAAGAGCCACTCTAGACGTCGTGTTCAGCTCGTGATATAGATCCGTCTCCTTGTGCTTCCACCGCAGGCACGCCGGGAGACACGTAAAGTCGACAGCTGGCACCTTGAAGAAGTTTCCGGGAATGGAAGCAGAGAAGCTCCAGGTCTGGACTTGACAGAGGTGGCCTTGGGGGCATGTGAGTCTCTTCTTTTCCGCAAACGTGGTTGTTTTGGTCTCGGTGTTGTCCTTGCCGACCTTGTAGCCGAGCTTGGCGCCCACCTTTGGACCTGCACCGGCGACTTGGAAGGACCATTCGAGGGAGAATTCGCCATTGTGCTCCCATTTGAATGTGCTGGTGTCGGTGGTTGCTGTGGATGACTCGAACCAGATATCGCCACTGAGGGGCTGGGAGTCTGCGTGGGGGTAGAAGTCGACGTCGACTTCGCTGGTTATATTTGAAAAGAAGACGTCGTGCAGCTGAAACATTTCTTCGACGGTGCACCCGCAGACAGGCTTGACGGCGGCACCTACGAGTGGTTCGTAGAAGCCTGCTTGGGATGCCCACATCCTCGGAGGGACTAGAGGTTTGACGATGGAGGTGTAGTGCTTGACGAGTTCTGGCTGAATCTGTATAATTTGTTTCTTTAAGAGACTCATTTCGGAGCCGAGAGCGCCGGCAACAAAAAGGAATATGGGGAACATTGTGAAAGTGGTTTTGTTTGGATAGCAAGGCAAGATTTAATCTTTTCAAAGTCTTTGATAGATTGTTAGAGAGTTGCCAAGTGGTAAAGACGAACAAGTTTATATAAAAGCTACAATGACTATATGGCTGCCGCGGAGAACTGAGTTCCGTCATGGTTCCGTGTCAACCGGTTATTCGGGAACCGAGACGAGTTATGCAATCCATTACGTACCCTGCCATCCGGTGAGAAACCGTCGGGCTATTCCGTTGTAGACGTTATTACTTTCGCGATAATAGGAAGGTCTTTGGATGAACTTCGGGAACGGAAAGTACGCATAAAGAACTCAGGACATGCAACGATTTATTGGGCCGGGATATTTATGCATACTCGTGAGTTTTGGGATTATTGACCACTAGTGTCGTAATAGAAGGGCTATAGACAAGGGTTATTATTAGTATATTACAAGAACCTATATGAAAATGAATATCAAGACTTGCTAGTCATATTAGTACCAGACATCGACATAGAACAGATCCACGCCCCCGCTCCCGCTCGTCCGGCAAGTATTGGCAGGGTTTAATGTCGGGGCAGTGTTGTTAAATTGCAAGCACCAGGATAACTCTAAATACAATCGTCCCAGACTGGTGAAGGTTTGCTCGTGTTTGAGAGACATGGCCAGGTTCAAGTGTAACACAGCCGCGTTTCCTCCGCACTTCCCCCGCGTATTTCAAATACCTCAGCCCACGAACGCGTACGGAAGTCACGGACGCTGCCAAGGAGGCCTCGTGATGGCGAGGCAAATGCCGAAACTGCGCCAGAGTCATACGACTTGGCGTGTAATTATTTGTATTTCGTTGCAAGTTCAGGGGCGCGGCATTATGCAAAACACTAGAGGCCAACGGTCAAGCTACGGCTATAGCAGCACGTGGGCGATAAATCGCACATTATTCCTGAATAGTCCACACACTGTGGGTAAAATTTCCGTATTTCCGAGGAGTTGAATCATGCGATACATGACGTACCGGTGAATAGTCTTGGAAGCCTATGTCCGAGTTGGCGAGTTGTCGCCCACGGGTAGAGCACATGGGAACGATGCCGCCGCTCGACAACATATAAAGACGGCAGTGCAAGCACGAAACTACTCGATCCACCCACAAGTCTTGGAAATCATCGTGGCAACTACCCCTTCTAACTCATCTACCATAAAAGCCTCTTACAACCATGCGTCTCATCGCCACCTTGATGCTTTCTGCCCAGCTGGCCTTGGGCCTGAATTCCTTCACGGTCGATTCTGACTGTGATAGTCTTTTGGCGCAACCTTTGGATGGCGGACTTCCTCAGCCTGTACATTGGGCAAAGGCGGTAAGTACTCTGAAGGAAGGATTCTAGGCAAAGACAAGCTCTAACAAGGCATTAAATAGGGTTGCCAACAAGTAAGCATGGATTTGAATTAATAACCTTCCGTATCATTTTGCTGACCAGTTTTAAAGGCCATTGTTTGTGAAAGCGATCCCACCAAAGACTGCTGCATTTCGAGGATCAAGAATGGCCTTCCTCTGCCTCTTAGGGTACGTGTGCTTCCATAAGAGAGTTACGTTACACTCTAACATGTTCGTAGTATGACGACGCCGTCCCGTACTATGAAAAGTGCGCGGGTGTTAGCGTCCCCAAGCCACGCAAGGAGGACGACATTGTCCTCCCGAGCCTTCCTTGCGATCTGATCCGCAACTTCCGCTGTGGACTGGGATTCACTTCCGAGTTTTGCGACATTGTATACGCGGAACTGGATGTAAGTTCAGGATACACGTTCCATGTTTATCATAGAGTCTGACTCGAATATTTTTACATTAGGGGTGCATGAAGGTAAGCACTTTCACGGAGCGTATATATAAAGCATACTAGGAGATTTACTTATAAAACACCGAATGTAGCGTGAGCAGTGTTCGAAACAAACTGATCAGGATGATTGCTGTGGCGCCTACCCAGCAAAGGTAATTCTGACATGATTTTTAAGTGCTTGGATGACTATTTACTAACGTTTGGCAGAACCCAGAGGCAGTCCGACGCTACTACAGCAAATGCGTGGGTACATGCAATGTAGTAACAGAAAAGGTTGTAGAGCAAGAAGACTGCCTTGCGGTCGGCGAGTAATGTATAACCTGTGCTAGATCAAGGCAAGACGTTCGCGGGATAAGGCGAGCTTTGATAGGTAGACATGCGCACCATCTCAACTAGCTTAGATTTATTAGACCTTGCACAGATGACAATGAAGAGACTTCAGGGGCATATGTAGAGTTTCTATTTGTGTATTATATTCATTTGAATGCAAAATTCTTTGTAACGCGTCAAGACTATTCGTTTGTGTGTAGAATGCAAGCAAACTAGTACTGAGACTAATTACGAAGATATACATGAGGGTTGTGAAACATGCTACTATACAGCAATATAAAAGCAGGTAGTTATTTGAGAGGTAATTATGTATTGCAAACTTGATACGTAGAGTTATTTTAACTCCAAAGGTTAGGGTTTTAGGCTGACGATAGCTATTATTATAGTAAGTTACACGCTTGCTAGTCAATACAGACCAGATTATTCTCTACATTATACTTGCTACTACGAGCCTGATATACTCTATACTTAACAAAATACAAGGCCAACCTGCAGACCTGATACCGTGACTAACCCCATAGTAATTGCGCCAGATATAGTCCGAGGATTTCAGAGTGGATATGAAGAATCAGGTTACATTGGCGATCTATTGCGGGGGAGGGGCAAAAGGGACATGAAATAGTTGTATTATTTTCTCTCAACCCCTTCTCGATCCGAGATGCCGTGGATGTTGCACTAGTTTAGGTCAGCAATGTTCTCAAAAAACACGAATATTGTATTCTTTACGACGGTCTTCCTCTATAGCGGTGAGTCATTTTCAGCCCTAGATGAGATAATACTGCGGACCGGCCTGAGAAAACATCAATTGCGTCTACTGGATTCTTATCTGGTAGGATGTATGCTACGTGGCAGCGATAACACGCTCTGGCGTGATGAGAAACTAGCTTGGCTCACATACGATGCTTTCTAAAACGACGCGTAATGTTGCCAAAGTCTTGTAGCCGCGCAAAATAATTCACCGCTCTTCTCTCTCCATTAC